GATTATTGTTTGTAAAGAATTCTCTTTTTGATAAATTACCGCTTTTCTCTCAACATCGAATAAAAAGACCTTCATTGAGAAATTTGACTCTAATTATCATTTTTTAGCTTTGTACATATTTTTGGCAAAAATGCAATTTTTAGTGCGTTTAAATCACAGCACTTCAACTGTGTTAATATGGACGGTATGGCATGGTAAAAAGTAGCTGATATAATAATCAAATCTGGTGATTAACTCGTGATCTGTAGAAGAGCGTTCAATTCTTCATTTTTAACATCTTCTTCTTTCCATCTTACTATCTTCCGCTTTATGACGGCGCTTGATCATTTGTTCCTATTCTCTGCGTTGTCTATGACATATTCACCCGATATATCACGTATACACCAACCTGCTCAGTTTTACCCATTTCAATCGCTGATAATGTGTTACTAGCCCGGGCCAGGTTACGCATTTTCTACGTATTTATTGAATGTTTGGCATAGGTGCTGCAATGTTATGATTACCTCGTTTAACGACGACGTGAGGAACAGAGTTGTTGCAGTGGTTAACTGCGACTAAGACGTGTTACGGGTACTGTATGAGCCGAGCAGCTTGCACACATCATGCACAAAGGATTTATATCAGTACCTTTTGATGGCTTAGAAAATGCTCGGTCAGCTTGGTTACATCGACTGTCCATTCGTGCCATCACCATTTCGGTTCTATTAACGAACGTGTTCGCATCGTTGATCCGTATCAGATGATAAAATTGATTGTCCTACGGTCCTATCGGTGCGTTCAAACGATGTAAAACAGTTACCGTGCATGTTACTTATTTCACTGAAATCCACTATCTGTGGTACAACGACCCCATGTGCAATTTATGACATTCTTTTGTTGTGAAAGCTATGCTGTAAAAATACGTAAAGCTCCTAAAGAGATTACTGGGCATCGATTAAGAATATGTAACTGTACTGAGGGATCACACCGTTTCTTGTTCCGAAAATAGAAGGAATTTTTTGGCAGGCTAATTCTGGGACATGGTGGATATTTATGAACTTGCTGGTGCATCGGTGTGATAATCCGAGCAGTATGTGCCTTTGCACCTAAACCAAATTTACACGGGTATAACGAACGAGTTACGCACATTTTTATCATGAAATGATTGATGTGCGTGCAAAATACAAAGCGATTATCATCTGGTGCGGAAGAGCAGCCTGGACACTCTTACGATGCGGTAACTCAATAAAATTTGGAGGCAACACAAAGACAGACTCATGGATACAGCAGTGCCGTAAAATGTAGACAGGGTCAAGGTGCTGATGTCCCAACATAATATTGTGCTCGATAAGGTACAAGGAGGTAATGATTTGATTTTGATCATACAACTTTGTTGGCTCTGGTCTCCTACAACCAAATTTCTATTCTATAACATCATAAAATGTTTTATCGACCTGTTGTGATAGTTATGTTTTGACATTATGCTAGCATTTTATACACTGTAACTCAAAACACTCATATCGCTTTGTACATGTCATAGGATCATGCAAAAATAAAAAAATAGTGCCTGATAAAATGGTTTCAACTACGGTGTCTAGCAATTATTCTATAGCTCAATACGAAATGTGAACGACTGCTTGCATCAAGCAGATGAAAAGTTCCTTATCATGTCATCTTCAAAGAAGACAGCGTAGACACACAGCGTCATTATGGATAAAAACGTTTTCAAAAGTATAAATATGAGCATACTTCGAGATGCATGGATATGCTCTTCATGTTCGTTTGTTTTACTGCCTGCTCTTCTGTTTTTTTAAATATCGAATGCGACCCTGATGATGGTACTTGGCAGGATGATTTGTCCCCTGACCTACCTTATAAGAGAAAAGAACTTGCCAATGGGGATGAGTCGTTTCACGTGAAAGGTTGCTTTGTAGGGTTTGCCCAGAAGAATAGCAGCGGAATCGTGACCGGCCTTAGGATGCGGGTAAGTGGAAATCTTCCTGGCGATTACATTCTTGCAGTCGGTTACGCCTTAGGCTGGGTGTCGCGAGATAAAGCAATGGAGTTGCGGGAAGCAGCCAAGGCTATTGATTTCGGGCTCACGTGTCTCGTTCCCAATTCGTGGAAATCCAGGCATGTTAAAGAAGAGGGTAATTTTCGTACCGAATGGGTAACGGAAGACCTGTTCAAGGAAAAAATTGACTGGCTTTTTATGTTTAAGCGTAGATATGAGGGTGAGAATGGGTCTTTATCGATTTCTGGGAAGTCGAAAGTCGAGCTTGATGAGGTGAAAGAGCGTGTGGTTTTTCTCCACACTCACAGCCCTATTCGTTTTTCCGAAGAGCCTGTCGGGTGCTCAATTCAATAAAAAGTTGATTATTGGTTGATTTGGTCTGGGTGGTTTGCGTTATGTGGTACAGGCTCTTCTTCGGAAAGATGGTTCTCTGTTGTTAGCGTGTGGTATAGGCAGGATGGCGCGTTTTAGTGCTATTTGTACTGCTGTCTACAGATGGAGCGATTGTGCATAGTTAATTGGGTGGAATAGGTTGGTGCTTTTTCGCTCATCCTTGATGAAGGCAGAGTTGTGGGACCGGGTGGACATAGGTATTTCATTGTTTAGCGATTAGCAGACTTTACGGCTTTGTGTCTCATGCTTAGGGTTAGGGATGGATTTCATGACAGCCCATCTTCGTAAATTCTTGAAGAAGCAGACGGCGCAGATAAGTCACTATAAGTGGTTGATAGTTTATGAAGCTAAATCTTAGCGACTGTTTCACATTGGCAGGCAATAGCTTTTTTTGCTAAAAGGGTCATATGGTGGTAAATAAACATACTCTAAAGAAATAGTGCGATACCAAGCTCAATATTAGCTGCTGGTCGTTTTAGCTGAAGAGGATGCATTCAGTCGCAACTACTCGATCATAGAGTGGGATGTAAATCTAACAGACTCTATACTTGCACCTTCAATAACGATGGTATATTGGTATGGCAAAACAATGTCAAAATCGGATTTGATGTGATTGTGAACGATGGATATGCGAGATGTGAAACAGCGAATGTATTAGGTGTAGTTGTATTCCTTTTGCGAGCAGATGAGAGAAACATTGCAATAGAAGATTGAAAGTTTTGGCAGAAGAATAAATTGTAATTATCGTGTTAGAAATCAGCAGAAGCGTAAATAAACCTGTGTCTAACAGCATCAAATGTAGGATAAAACAAGAGAGTCACACATCAGAATAAAAGAGTACGAAAGAGAGGATCATGTCGAAATTGGTAAGGAAACAATATAACACATCTCTTAGTATGTATTCGGAAATGATGCTTTTACTTAACTGTTTCTGATGTTAACCAGGCATCACATCTGCACACTCGTTGGGGATCCTTCAACAGATAATATCTGATGAAGCTGTATGTATCCCGTGCTTTGAACAACATGAGCAGAGGGTTCTGTTCATCCAACTTGCTGATCTGGTCACATATTTCACTTTTCAGCTTCTGGTATTCTGCCACCTTAGGT